TTTAAAAAAGACTATATTACGTAATTACGTATTTTTATTAAGAATTATATATACGTAGAATATAAATATTATATATCGAGCGATATACTAAAAAAATGAGTCTTAGTAGGATTTTCTACTCAGATCCACCTCAAGGCCGATAGGGTCAAGCTGAGACTATATTGTTATTATTATTGTCCTTATTACACAGCAGGCGACTTTGAAGGTTGAGATGTCGTTCCGAAGTCAAATTGTCATCTCATGGCGTGAAGTAATGGGAGACACTAGCACATCCTGCGGGTAATCGTGCCTCGCGTGCATACTACTTATACTTTAGCTAAAGATTAAAGTAAAGGGCAATTTAAGTGTATCCAACAGGTCGCCCAAGCTGGATAGACGTTGGTCAAAAGGGGAAGTGGGGGCGGAGCGGCATGTTTGACTAGCGCAATGCCAAAATATACTGTAGTACTTTACAAGTACGGGGTAGAACCAGGAGTTCGTTCACGAATCACGAGTATTCGCTTGGCATTGACCAAAAGTCTACATACTTGGCCGTTTTATGCACCATGCTGAGAGGAAGACAGACTGATCTACATTCTACACTGTTGTCCTTGTTGCCTGCATTGAGCTGAATATTACTTTACTATTATCATTATTGCGCCTTTCTTTTGCGTTATCGAATTTCATTTCGTCTTCGGGGAAAATGACGAGCATGGATGCTTGTTCTTTGCCCCCAGCCAGTAGAGTAGCGGGCGCACTAAACCCCATTCAATCTTGTAAGCGTGTAAGCGCCTCTATTCTCACGTGTTTGCTTCCTTTTCGGACATTTTCCACCTTTCCTGTTTGTTGATTGGTCTGGCCCCAACTGGAACTCCAACCGGTAGGGCAACTTACGATGCTGCACGCGAGGTGCGAGATCAGAGTCTGAACGTAATTTGTATCAAAAAACATGGATGAACGGCCTGATCTCCCTGAGCTCAAGCTACCATACCATTATTGGAACCACCCGTTACTGTTGTCCCGTGCTGCTCAACAAGTGCTTCGGTTGTTGAGACATATTCTACCACCTGCTGCGTGAAAATAGCCGAGCACGAATGTGTAGAGAGATCAATAGTAGCCGTGTGAGACCGAGACCATAGATACTCAGGTGTATGCCACGTCAAAGCTTCCAGCATATGTCCGAGTGGCAAGGCCAATTTGTCATCAGCTCCATTGGCCACGTGCGGAAGCTTGCTGCTCTGCTCCTTTTCTTGTCTGAACTTTCCAGAGTTATCATCTCGCGAACTTCCTCGAAATGAGCGAACGCCCGGAGGATTTGACAGGGACCACAAGCAACGTGGATAGAGCTCAGGCATTTCCCCATGGGGATATGGTTTCATCCTCGGTTTGCAGCCTCTCCTTGACTAGCTTCTTGCTTTCAAGGGAAGGTCTACTACCGTATCATCCCAGTCAAGATTCCCATTTTTTCCACGAACTATAAAAAGCTAGCCCGGACTTTGTACGAGATCACGACTGCGCCAGTATTATGGAATGCGGAAACCGGATGATTTCTGCCAATGTGTTCTCTCGAGTCTCAAACATAACAGAGTCTTGCGGAAAGCATGTGCAAAATCAAGGCAGAAACTAGTATAAACAACTACAATGTCGTTTTGGGTTCCAGTGAGATGCAATAAGTAATTCCGAGAGATGAAACATCTTTCAAGTCAAAATTTCAAAAGGAATGAAACAAAGGAATTTCAGAAAGGGAATTCTGTATGATGCTTCGGAACGTTAGTGTACAACATTGCTATGACTCGTGAGAGGGGAACAATAATACTTTGAAGAGACTTGCCTTTGGATGTTATCCAGAGGGCTAAGGATGACGACCGAAGAATTGCCCGAGATCATGACCTGGATATCGCCGCCCTTTTGCATGAGGCGAAAGGCATTTTACTTGCTCTCCCGTGGTGCTTCAGCTGGTCTCGGAGCATTGTGCATCGTGCTATTGAGTAGAGTCCATCAGTATTACATTCTGCTGGATGGCAGACCCTAACACCGTGCATTCACTTACACACTTCTTCGCATCATCGAGGTCTTCGCGAACTACTCTTATCAAGGTCTCTCTACCTGTTCTCGTAGACACCCAATATGTTTGGTCAACAACAATATCCTCAACCCTTCGAGGCCTTTCATCAACTTCGTTTGCCAATGTCTTTTGCCTTCTGAGCTTCCGGCCATTCGCCAAGTGGCCATTCATAGACCCTTTTAGAAATATTTCCGAAGCCTTACTACTTCAAGTGATGCCCAAAATTTTTGCTAGCTCTCGCGTCAATGCATGCTTTCTTTGCTGCTTGCATCAACAAGTCTGCCCACCAGAAGAGTGCAGAATCTGGTCCGACATGGCCAATTCCACCCTCCTGGTTTGAGATTATCAAAATACCGATGGAAGTAAAACACCCTCGGCTTCCATTAATCCCCGCCGGACTCCGTACAGACCAAGATTCAACTGCAAGGTCCTCAACATGCACAAGTATGCTATCTTAGATCTTCTAGTTTGACGACGTGGAGAATGGTAAGAGAGGCTCACCGATTGCTTAGGGTTAGGGTTTCCACCACGGATAAATCTCGGCAAGGCGGAATGACGCCAGCCAGCCATTCTTCTCTTCGCTCGTCGATCAAGGAAGTGAGCCAACCAATCAACCTCTACTTTCAACACCAATTTCATCTGATTTAACACCTCTTCTTCCATTCTTCCCCAAGCGTCTTATTTCTTGTACAGCGATTCAATCATAGTAATCCATATCTCACATCTAGACCAATCCCACCAAATCCCACTTTTCTCAGCCAAGCAGAATGTCCACTTCCTCCGAACAACCCGAGAAGCCTCTCCACCAGTACGTCTCTCTCCCTGGCTCCAATTTCCTCCAGCTCGCTAATTTGTTCGATCCAGGCTCCTCACCACATCCCTCGTAGACATTTACGTTGGCTCGGAAAACACTGATTGGACAATCCACGAGAAGCTCCTTTGCTACCACTCCCCCTTCTTCCGCAAAATCTTCTACGGCAAAGAGAACCGCGAGAGCAAAACCAAATCCTACGGTCTCCCCGACTCCGATGACCTGCCCTTCGAGCTCTTCGTCGGCTGGCTCTACTCCCGCGCCTTGCGCTACCCAGAGGCCGAAAAGGACGTAGGACCACTCCTCGACCTCTACTTCCTCAGCGAGCAGTTCCAGATCACGAAGCTGAGTGACGACGTCGTGGAAACTGTGCGCGCATTCTACCACAACAATGAGACATACCCTGGCTTGAGGCGTGTGCAGTACGTCTACGCAAACACGAGCGAAGACAATGAGATGCGCGAGATGATGGTCAACAGCGTCGCAAGATACTTGACACTGAGCGATGCTATCCCTGCGCACTGGGAGAATGCGTTGAAGAAGAACGGGCAATTGAGTGTGGATATCATTCGCAGCATTCAGCAGTGGCACTTGGAGGGCAGAAGTGTGCCCGACGCTAGAGACGTCAGCCAGGATCGTGGGAGGGAGAAGGTTGGGTTTAGTGCTGTGGCAGAGGGAATGTCGATGACTGAAATCAAAGACGAGGACGTGGATCTTGACCACAGTAAGACTAACGGGAGTTCCTAAGGTTCCTGGTGGGTTAGAGGAGAACGGATGGGGGAATTTTTCACATTGCTCGCGTTGATTTATGGGTATATCCTTGGATGCTCTCTGTCTTGCGGAATCGGTGATGCTTTCCTTCCTCGGCGAGCGGTGCCTGTACATCTATTGGAAGACGGATCGATATTATTGGTCTTTTGACTTTTCCTTCCCCGTCTTCCGAAACATCGTTGCCAAGTTAATTACAAAGGTTGCCTGTAAATTGCGTGACTCTTTCTGAAACATTCTTCGTCAGCTGCCAGGGCGTCAGTCATATCCTCGGTCAGACCATCAATAGTCGCGGTCAGACTCTCCCGACACATGCGCTCCTTTCAGACTTCTCCGGCTATAATGCATGCATGCTGGTCGCATTTCCTCCGGTATCTCATCGGCTTTTTCCCTGCTGCTCTCTCGTCTGCTTCGCTTTCTCCTCCACTCCCCTTGCAAAGCATGCCGCGCACGGATAGGTCTTTGTCGTCTCGGTGCTCGTGGTAATGTGATTCATTTCGGACATGGCCAGCTCGCACATGGTGTATTTCGTGTCTTCTGGGTGGCCGCAGGAGAAATGGATATTCTCGATATGGCACATTTTGAAGAGAAGATGGTGAGGTGGAGGGAGGCGATTGTGTGCTGTGGGGGTCTCTCGGGCGAAGAATGTGATGCGATGGAAGTTGCTGATTGTGGGTGGCAGTAAGGGGCTCGTTGGAAGAGGCTTGCGGCGTTGGAAAGTGCTGGGACCAATTGAGAGGGATTGGAGGTGGGCAAGGTGGATCAATTGAAGGCCGTGAGGGTGAATTGGGTGGGTCAATCGAGGCATACAAATGCTTGCGACGTGGGTTGCGGAGTGTGGTCCGACGTGTAATCGTTGGCCGGTTTTACTGCTTCCGCCAATGTTGATGAATGGCAAACTTTAAGCATGAGGGAAAGAGTTGATTTGTTGTTTTGGCTCTTGGGCTTGTTGTGGGTTTATTTTGTTGTTGTTGATGTTGTTGGGGTGATTCTTGTACGACTCGATAGGAAAAGTGAGAAAGCGATGCTGACGTTTTGCGTTGCTCAGTATTTTCGGAGTTGCCTCAATGCGGCTATTGATGAGGCTCGATGCCTGACGTGCATTTTGACACATTTGACAGGTTTGTGGAACGACGAATGACAGAAGAGGACTGAATGAATTAAGGTTAAGGTTCTTCCGGTGCAATGGGACCAGGACCCGAATGGTACTTTAATGACAGGTCAATTCAAGAAAGGGAAAAGGGAAAAGGGAAAAGGCGAAAAAATCATGCATCCACGCGCATCTGTCCTGACAGGCTGATAACTTCTGGAGGCGCGGAAATCCTTGACTTCTCATTCGTCAAAAAAAACTTTAAAAAAACTTCATGCAATGCGCCTCTATGCGGCCGCCTCTTCAGCTGCATCCCATCCCTTACCTACGATGCTTCGATACGCCCTTTTGTATCGGTCGATGCTCTTCAACGCAACGTCATCAGGCATCTCCACCATTTCTTTGCCCTTCATCCCATTCTTCACCAGCCAATCTAACCACATTGTCAGCGACATTCGGAGAATTCTTGACAAGGGTCTACCGCGCAGATACTGCTTGTCATATGAAACTTGGCCTCTGCCAACCTCGTACCTTTCAGCACTCCAAAAGCGGCTGCTTGAGCACTTCGTCGATAAGAACCACGGCAGCCGGCGTAGTAGATTCGTCAGGTCCAAATTCGAACTTGGTATCCGCAATGATGATACCTCGCTCAGCGGCGTAAGTGTTGGCTTCTTTGTAGAGCTCTAGCGAAAGCTGTTCGATTTGATCTGCGTAAGCTTGCCCCACAATTCGAGCCGCTGTCACCAAGAGCGATCAGCTTTGCCCGCGCAATTCATACGTGAAAATGCTACGTTCAAGCTTCGGAAGTCACCAACCTTCCGCAGGACTGATGTTCTCGTCCTTTCCTCCGACTTCGGCCTTCGTACACGGAGTCCAGAGGGGTTGCTGCAGCTTCTCGGACTCTTGCAGGCCTGGAGGAAGACCTCTGCCGCACACCGTGCCATTCTCCTGATAGGAGCTCCAAGCGGACCCAGTAATGTATCCTCGTACAATGCTCTCTATCTGAAACACTTTGAGGCGTTTGACCACCATACTCCGGCGCTGGAGTTGGGAGATCATTTGAGAGGGCAAGTGTTCTTGGAGAGCCTGAGAGCTATTCAAGGAGACGTAGTGCGTGCGGGATCTTGGACTGCAACAACTCCAACCAGAAGTGGCTGAGTTGGGTGAGGATGGCGCCCTTTTGGTCGATGCCCTATAAGTGCCAACGTAACACTCAGTCATCTCGCCTTGCCACTGAAAAGGTCAGATCGAGAATTGGCGTACATCCTTCATTACCACGTCGTAGGCTGAGAATATGTTAAAAAAAATACCAGTCCATGGCCGCTTTGAGTCGTATCTGATATTCGATCGGTGGCAACGAAGAGTAGTGTTGAGTGATCAAGCTTGTATATTTCGCGAACTTTCCCAGAGGCCACAAGAGGAAGACAATCCCGGAGATCTGTTTGCATTACCGTGCATGACCCGAGCCATTGCTTGGATCTAGCAGCTGGAACGCCTCCCAAGATACGTGAGAGATAGTATTGGGTTATCAGCCAGTTGGAGGCGAACTTTGACAGCTGAATTGCAAAACTAAGTTGTACTCAGCGGGTTCTCTTCAAGCGTCAAGCGTCAAGCGATGATAGGTGGCAAGCTTTCGAACCCGCAAAATGCTCTTCCGGAAGAGGCTCGGAGGAGTCGTCGTTGTGACAACTCTTGTCTGCTGCATGTGATGTTGGAAAATATAATGATATCCCTTTACATAGCTTTTCAATATTAATATATTATACAAGCCTAAATGCCTATGAATTAAATTCATGAAAAGTAATTTCGGAATTAGATTCGATTCTTGAAGGGTGAAAATACTTTGGTGAGCGATCTTTGATGAGCGATCTTTGGTGAGCGATATTTGAATCCCTTGCCTTTAAATAATTATAAGATCAAATTTCAGGATTTTAGAATATTTGAAAAGCGCAAATCGAGCTCTATAATTGAAAAAAAAAATCAAGAAATTTCAATAGAGAATGGTAAACTCATTACAAGAAGTAGTCTAGCTCTGCGGGTGACAAAAAAAACGGAACGCCAAGCCCGCACTGACAACAGTACGACTAAGGCACTAATTGACGAGGGGTGGACTAATATTTCCACATCGTTTTTTAACGAGAAAGTGGATAGTATATCAAATAGATTACAAGCAGTTATAGACGGTAAAGGAGCAATGACAGGATACTAGAACAGAGATTTACATAGAAATTTGTATGTGTGTCTCCGCGCAGTAGTCTGGCTTGGCGTTCCATTCTTTTTTGTCACCCACGAGTCTAGTAGGGAAAAGGTTTTGATGGTTGCGGACGCTAATTTATCTAACCGCGGTGTCTAACCAAAAGTGTAGAGCTTTCGAATTTATGATTGGCTACACATGAAAATTCAAGGTTTTCTAGCTCAGCCCTATGTTGCCGGGGTCTCGGCGTTTATCGGATATATACTGATTACAGAGGTTGGCACCAAAAGTCCTGCACCCGCCAAGGGTTAGGGCTGCTACTAGCGCGGGTGCAGGACTTCTAGTATCAACCTCCGTGCCTCCGTACCTACTTTATAGCCAGGTGGACCGCGAGAAATTTATTTCATTGTGATCCCAACATCAGAGTTGCATCGGAGGTCCAAGCACCTCCGGTGCCTCCGACTAGCGCAGCCCTATGCTGTAGGACTTTTCCCCGTGCAGAGTCAACAGAAGTCTACATCTCAGAAAGGCGCTGACTTATGCGATCGATGGATGGACGGTGTCATCGATCGCTATATATTGTTTAATCTGTCTGCATACATAACCCGCTCCTCATCCCCAACAAAAGAGCTGAGCTCCTAAGGCGTTTCAATCCGTCGAAGAAGAAAGTCATGATAAGGCTCTTGGGTCCCCGACCCTCGGATCCCTAGTTGCGTCGTAGTTTACCTCTCGCTCGACTTGGCGAGAAGGCGGGAAGTCGCTTGCAATGGGCGTTGGGGCACCGTTCGTCCCGGAAAAGTTGCCTGCGTTTCGACTGTCCTGAGCCCGTTGTATTGCACTCAGTGTGGGCTGAAAGTTTGCATCAAAGCTGTCCAGTTCCTCAATGGCTAGATCGGAGATTCCTGAATCAGTCTATCTTTTTCAAGCTAGAACCTTTTGAGGTCTGAGGAATGTCGTCGGAGAAAAAAAGACCTCTTGGCTTCCAAAACATGCCCTGCGACCCAAGTTGCGGTATTGGATGGGGAGGAACAAACAAGAATACACACCTCTCTTAGCGATACCTACGTGCTCACTGGATGGAGGTACGCCAAAAACTGGCTGCGACCTTCGACTTGTCCTGACCACTGGTTTTGGCTTGTGGCTCTTCCAGCCAAGTCGCATTGCAGCCCGAAGTTCGTCGGGGCGAGGCTCTTGACGTATGTTCTGAGGGGAATTACCCGGTCCAGCTTCGTCATCTGCGTACTCTTGCGCACACAGCGCCGTCTCACGTATCTTGTCTCTAATAATTCGTGATCAGCAGAAAAACCCTCATACTGATGGTAATACAAATGCTCTTACTTCATACTCTGCTCATGCTGCTCAAGATGATAAGCGGCATAAGCAAGCTTTTGCTCGCGGGAGAGGCCGTTGAGGGGCGGTACCCTATCATATTGAGTTTCATATCCTTCCCTGACTGGAGAGTCATACCTTGGGAAGGGTTGAAGAACAAGACACTGCATCTCAGCGTGTGCTGCATTGGAGCTCGAGTCACCCATGTAAAGTTAGAAGAAGCGTGAGGATATGTTAGGGATCCAGGTTATGATGGCTCCGACGGGCTTGTGTGATAACGAGTCTAAGCAGAGAGAGTCAGCCAGTACAGATATAAAACCTGCGGCTAACCACTTATCGAGCTCTTGCACTCCGAGCTTGCATCGAATCCTCATAGGTCAGGAAGATTCACACTTTACCTAATCAAACTGATTGAAAGACAGTCGCTCGACGTGGGACACGCCCGATGAGAGACCGGTATCAACGGAAAAATACTTCTACGGTACCAGCGATAGCCGTATCCGAAAATCTGACTGACGGTTTTGGAGATAACAGCTGATTGGGGACGAGGCAGGAATATTTGGTTCAGGACAGAATCATCGATGGCCAGCTAATCGTATTCACTAGGATTTGCAATCTACTAGGATTTGCAATCTCTAAAACTGAATCTTTATAGTTTATCATTCCATAGCATTATAATAAAAAATTCGAAAAAAATCCTAAGATGATATAAAATGCGATTTTTATATTTTTAAGAATTTTCGAAATCGAGGTAATAATGATTAATTTATCTGATAGCGTAAAAAACTTTAACGATTATATCTTAATACACTATTATATAACTTTATCAATTTAAGTCCAATTAAGAAAAAGAAAAAAGATCTAAAAACTGTATTCTATATTCTCTTAATTTTTTTTTCCTAGTTTTAATTATATTGTTGTAAAATAATAAATTTTAAGAACTAGATTTTGAACATTGCAAATCCTAGTGAATACGAGTAGACGCGTAAGCGCGCGCGTCTATTCATACAATTTTCTTGTGGCGATCTCGGGATCAAGGATCCAAGAATTCCGAGCTCTACTCTGTAAGTAGTTACTAGTAATCAACCAGAGCTTACCACACCAGCCTGGGACAAGATTCTCTCATGACCATAATGCGGCTGTATGTTGATTGCAGTGGTAACGGCGAAAGACCAACAAATTTCAAAATTGCAATAGAACTACACTAAACATAGTGCGACGAAAGCAAAAATCCCCTGACCGAAACATCAAACTACATTGGTACGGGCGTGCTTTGATGACTCGATCCCCGAGCCCCTTCAAACGCAACGAAGGTCCAGACGCAAGGATTACTTTTGTTACTGTCGAGGTTAGCGGCTGTTGGAATATGGCGCAGATGGCGCCCGTCACACGGCATGATACTTGCAGTGTCTCAGCCCCTTCCCCGGAGTTGCTCAAAGTCTCTCTATTTTTGCGGAGCGGAGCTGATTGCTTGTCATGAACGAGACCAAGGATTGCCGTTGAAGCTACCTAGTTTCAGAGCGAGGAGTCCTTCAGTAGCACCGATTTCCGCTCTGCAATTTTATACAAGGAGCGGGCAGCTCTTCCTTTACTCATTGTCCTAACAATCATTCCTTTCAAGCAAAACTACCGTTGTTTGGACGAATTCCTTCCAATCAAGATGCATTCATTGTCGTACATTCTCTGCTTGCTGGCAAGCCTCATTTCTGTTCTCGCTGCTCCCCAGGTCAATACACAAACTTGCCAAGACGAGGGCATCGTCACTCAAGAGAACTTCAAAGTTTCATCGAATATTTATGCCGCAAGTACAGGAAAAGGATATCAATGCTCGCAAATAAACTCCGATACTGGCAGCGCACTTGCATGGAGTACCACCTGGGCATGGCAAAATATCGCTTCTGACAACCAAGCTTGGAATTGGATCAAGAGCTATGCTTACGGTACGTTTGTTTGAAGTGATTCCTTCCTGGTAGACACCGAATCTTGAGACACAGGACATGTTTCGGGAGTGTTCTCTTCTGGTCTCTACACATGTCCCATAACTCAAAATCCATCTCAAAGAATGATATGCTGACTTCGAAAAATTGCACAGCTTATGATTTTTCTGCGCCTGCATGCAAATTGGCCACACCGTTGAGCCAAATGAGTGGCAGTATCCAATCGCAGTGGTCATGGAGGTACGGACATCACCAATATCCTTTTGAAGCATCAGTGGCGACACACTCAATGTTTTCGCCTTCTGTCTCAACACTGACAGGTCTCATTCAGCTACTCTGGAGAAGACGTGATAGGAGATGTTGCTTACGATGCCTTCCTCGGCGAAGGTTGCTCCGGAACCACCGGCCAACACAGCTACGAAGTGATGATTTGGCTCGCTGCATTGGGATCTCTGGGTCCGATTGGGAGCAGCGATGATGGTGGCTCAGCCTTTGGTTTTGCCCCCCGAAACGTGAAAATCAGCAACTCCGATTGGGTGCTGTACTATGGCATGAATTATGGAACGAATACCCCGGTGTATAGCTTCATTCCACCCGCGGGCACGCAGTACAACAGCTTTGGCGGCGACCTCATGCCTTTTTTTACATATTTAAAAGGCATCAATGGAGCTCTTTCTTCTCTGTTTCTGCAAAGCATACAGGCAGGGACGGAGGCAGTGAATGCAACAGGGCCGGCTGTATTTACGACCTCGTCATATTCCATCGGTTGAAGCATGACGCGGGAGACATTGCCCGTTGTGGAGTTTGGAACAGAGATGGCATGTGTCTAGAGTCCGTATGGGACATCTCGTACAACAAGCTGTACTATGAGCTATCTCCTAGTATCCGTAGCTAATTTCCACTGTACCCTTACAAGTGTCAAATTTCATCTTTAGAACAGCCAGTTTGCTGACTCGGCTGATAGAAGATTCTCGCTCGTCTAGATTGCCGACGGCGGATCTTCGGCTACATGACAAATGCTTTGGTGCAGCCTACGGACGGCCTCTACCTTATGCTACGCTCACCATCCATTTCTTCACCTATCTACCTGTCAGCATTGAGAAGACTTGTTTTATTCTCGGACCAACGCCCTGACCATGGCAGAGGAAGCTCCTAAATCAGCAGAGACAATCGAAATCACCTTCACCCATCATGGCACGCCTCACACCTTCAACTTTCTCTCTGATTCTACCATCGCTGACCTCTCGAACCGCATCTACAACGAATTATCTATCCCTGCGATCAACCAAAAATTCCTGATAACCCCTAAGCTCGGCATCTTCAAACCACCATTTGTGGATCCTCTCCCACTCAGTACCCTCAAATCGAAGAAGATAGTCCTACTTGCGCCAACGCCCGCCGAGCTCGCCTCCCTCGCGTCTCCTCGCCCTAGTCCCCAGCCTACCAGTTCCACCACTAAACCGGTCGCCCCGTATCGCCATCGCGATTGGCAGAAAGCCCAAGAGGAGGCAACCTACACCTTCCAGACCATCCTCCCACTCAGCTACCTCCCTGGCCCGGCGCGTTCGCAAAAGTTCCTGGAGCGTCTGCGCGACGATCCGGGCATCAAGGCCAGCATGCGCAAACACAGATTTAGTGTGGGCGTGCTGACGGAGATGAACCCGGCCGAGCATACAACTCATGAATCGCGCACCCTGGGTCTAAATCGAAACAGAGGCGAGGTCATAGAGTTGAGACTGAGGACGGATGCGTATGATGGATATCGAGATTATAAGATCATTCGCGATACGCTCTGCCACGAACTGGCGCACAACGTCTTTGGCGACCATGACCGGAATTTCTGGGACCTGTGCAAGTCTATCGAAAAAGAAGTCCGGGAGGCTGACTGGAAGCATGGGGGGCAGGCAATCAGCAATGAAATCTTCTATGATCCGGAGGAAAGAGAGGGGAGCGGGGGGGATGTGGATGGCGGAGGGTGGTCTGGAGGGGAATTCGTGCTGGGAGGAAACGGTGGGAAACAAGGGGTGCCATCACAGATGCTGAACAGGAGAGAGGCTATGGCCAAGGCGGCGGAAGAGAGGATGAGGAGACAGCGACAGGCTGGGAGTGGTGGGAGTGGCGCACCGGCTTGATATGATCAGGTGTCAGGATCCTCGTCCAAACTGTATAGCACACCGTAGCAGCTTGGCATTTGATTTTTTTGACTACCTATTCAATCCAAAAAAACACCGAGGTTGATCAATTTTGACCCATATATGGAGGCAAAGGTCCCTCCATTTGTGCCAATAAAAAATCTGAAACGCAGCATTGAATGCCGTATTTAGTCCACGCTGAGTAAATCGTAGCACGTTCCCTGTCGCGGGACTACGAGACATAGCCTCTTAAGCCACAGCCATACCCAATGCCTATCCCGAACAATGTTTCCCGGACAATCCAACCCTCAACTATGCCCGCTGCGCTGGTATTTGCAACAAGGCCGGCAGCCCTGTTTTCCGTGTGCGGTGGCGAAGATACTGCAGCAACAAGTCCAGCCCCTGTTCTACCCTCCGATCCCCTTTTCTCCTAGCCCAAGCAACCAGCAAACCCAGTAGAGCCAGGTCCACAACAAGATGTCGTACGGTGACCCACACAAGCCAAGTCATCCACGCCCAAAGTCCATTTCGCCTCCTCCCGTCCCCTATCGTTTTCGCTTCGATCTGTTCCCTCAGCGCCGCGACTTCCGTGGTCATCTTCACAAGCGCTTGTTCGATCTTCTTTCTCCATTTTCGATTCCGGACGTCCAGGTCCTGGGATTGCCCTGCCACTGCCATGGCAGCCTCTTCATCGTCGAACGGGCCCCCCCGTGTCTCCTCAGACTCTTCGCCTTCATCGTGTTCTTCCTCCCCATCACTAACAGGCCTCAAAATCCTAAGCCCCTCACCACCGCCCTCAGCTGCCCTCCCGCTCCCAGAACGCCCACCGATGCTAGGATAGCTTGGGAGCATCTGCTGCCCTTGACTCCTGGTTAAGCGTCCCGGCGAAGATGATGAAGAGGAAGCGGAATTCGACTTGATCTGATCCCACACGAACTCCAACTCGGCAACAAGCTCTCGGGCTTCCGTGGTCGTAGTGGCATATTTATGCATAGTTTCAATGAGCGTGGCGATGTAACGGCGTTTGGCTTCTGTGCGGCTTAGAGAGTGCTGGTCGGACCATGCGTCCCTGCAAGAGATTTTGTCAACACCTTCCCAAGCGCATGCCTATGGTAGCAAATTCATTATACCATTTTTGTTGTTCGGCTAGTGATTCCGGATCATTGCTCTCTGGTCTCCGTGAAATTCCTTCGACATCTCCTTCTGTGCTTTGCTTGTAGAGTCCATAGAGCTTAAGGCGGTCTGCTGGAGGTGGCCGAGCGGAGCCCGTGCGTGGAATGCGTTTGACGGTATTGAGCGCGTGGACGAAAACCCTGTCTGAGAAGAGAGTTGGTCAGTCGCATATTTGGATTACGAAAAGCAGAGTTCGAAGTTGGAGCAAAGAGACTTACCCACTGAGTCGGACATATTGGCGGAAGTGGGTCGACTGAGAGCCTCGGGCGTTTGTTTAGTCGTACCGCATCATCAATCGAGGGAGGATATGAAGTGCTTGAAGTCACAGTAAAAAGGATTCAACAACTTTATCAGTCAACATTTGAGGATTTTATGATATACATCAGTCATGCCGTGTAGGCACCGTTTGTTCGAGTTGCACCATACAAACAATATAGGGCTGCGGGTGATGACGAGGATCGCCGGCTTTGACAGGTCGTCTAGACCGAGGGTACCACGGAGCCTCACATTCCACCATTTCCTGCTTTTTATTTAATATTCTTTCCATTACTCCAATCAACTTCAAGATACTAACCTTCTGAGTATTGATATGTCCAAGTAAGGCTCCGGCTTCAGACCATCGATTTCCGTTGGCCGCAAATATTCCATCTTCTAGATCGGCGTCCGTACTTGGGTTCGTGATCCCCGTCCGGGAGAAGCTATGGTTATCGTGAAAATTCTGGTCAACGAAAGGATTTGGTGAAATCGGGTTTTCATTTGCCAATCTTACGGGCATCCCCCAGCGTTGTCTCTGTTCTCTTTGACTCCGCTCGAGAGATTATCAACGTCGTACCCTCGATCTCCGGAAGCTGTGGGGTTTTGCACGGCGACCTCAAAAGAAAATCCGGGTGGACTTTGGGCTTGGGAGCCGCGGTTATCACTACTAGTCATACAGCAAACAGGAGAGTTGCGCTTTCCCCTTCAATATCTTTCATTGACGGAAGGTGTTGGAATGTGAAGCTATTCTTCCAACTACCCGTATAGGGTCCTAACTCAGAGTCTTGCTTATCAAAATCGGCCCCGCAAATGTTTGTCCCGTTGTCGAGACCTGATCATATTTTTTGCATGTTTCCAGTCGCGAGCCTGACTTATGAGGTTACTCCCTATTAACCGCGAGTCCAGCCTCTTTAATGTCTTTTTCCCAGTTGCTGACATCACATAGCCAATCGATAGTATTCATCATTAACTCTATGACAGCAGGCACTTGATCTTCAGAGAAAGCTCGAACTTTGGAAAATCTCCGACTCTGAAAACCTAGTCATCGATAAGAACACCTTGACTCATCCTCTTTATGATTTCGGTCAAGAGGAAGCCTCGACATAGAATCAGCAGCGAAAAACCTACTGCCTTGCGCCCCTGAGGCTGCCATCCTCATCGCTCCGTAGAGGCTCGCCATCACATTGCCGTTTTCATCTCTTTCCCAATCTTCTAGGTTATCCTGTGTCGCGATTCGCACCCACCGGCGTACAAGCATCATCAAGCCACTCGGAGCACGAGGCGCGCAGGCGGAGTACTTCATATTTGCAAGTCGTTCTCTGGGGTTGTTGCGCATGGATGCAATTGCTTCGCCTGGTGGCGTGTCTTGTTGGCGCTGTCAGTTCAATAAACGGCACGGTACGAGCTTCTTCTTGTGCGGGCTCTTTTCCCACCGTCCTCCAAGCTCTCGTCGTTCGCCTCGCGTGGCCTCCTCTCCTTTCCCTCCGTATGATTTTCATCAAGAATGTGCGAGTTCTCTCGCGTATGCGATTGCTCCCCCTTCGGCTGTCAGAAGGGAAGAGCTGCCGGAGAGGGAGCGAAATAAGGGTGTCGCGTGTGCGAAAAATAGCGTGTAATATGCAGAAAGCGTCGCAAAGATTGTAGGCGGTATGCGTGGGATATTATTTGACGGCCATTCCTACTTTAGTTTTAGAAAGATTTTATCAGGGTTAGAGTAGGACCTAAGAGGAGTGATGAGCTTATTTATCTTTTTACTTCGGCCCGAGAAGAGGTCTAATTAGATTCACGGAATCCGACCCGGTTGCGAATTGTATAGCGCGGGGAATACGGGATAACGGTTACATGAGAGCAGAGGAGCAGAGGAGAGTGCACGGGAAATAGGCGAAATGGTGGAGTTGCTATGGGCCGTTGAACAGGGTCTTGCCGAACTGCACCGGCCCTCGTGTGGAAAGCTAAGTCGAATGAGGAAGGCGTAGAGTAAGGTAAGGTAAATACTTACAGAGGTCTGCACCGAAAGTCCTGCACCCGCCAAGACTCTTACGCTCAGACTTCGGATAACGCCCCACCTAAAGGGTTACCTAGACAATACGTTTGGAGTTCTTCGGAATCGCACCTAGCCCTAGCCAGGTTTCGAGGCTTAATACCTCTATTAAGCCAAGAGAAGTACCTAAAGTCTCATCCATGCGCTATAAGAAGATATTTCTAAGCTTCCCCTCTACAGGGCCGCTTTCCGAAAGTAGGGTTAGGGCTACACTAGTGCGGGTGCAGGACTTTCGGTGCAGACCTCTGTACTTAGATCTAAAAAGTCGATCGTCCGTATCAACGTATCACCGACCACCGTATCAGTAGCGCTCATGATTCATTCAGTAGTAGGTACATGTACTTTATGATTCGTGAATCCATCAAGGCTCCGAAGAGTACTGTAGGGACGGAAAGATATCAGCGCATACGTACGCGTAGATGATAGAATAATCTGAAGCAATACCTCAGATCTCAATGAATGAGATGCATGTGCAGACCTACTTTACTGTACCTCGTTTGATTTTCCATGTTTGGACCCCACAAACCGGACTTCCCGGATACCCTCGATCTTATCGCTTGGCACTCGGCACTTGGCGTCATCATCACATTAAAATACCAGAAGTTAGAACTAACCTACGGTTTTCGTCCCGTACTTAAACAGCGATCCAGTGTACAAGAGGAGAGCATGTTCACCATACTGTAGAGATTGATTTCATCGGTCGACTACTATTGAGAGTAGTCGTCATGTAAAGCCGTAGTCGCATGCTTGCTTGATCAGGGGCAAAGTATGAAAATAATTAAATAAAGAAAATAAGGAAGAACATGGATTAACGAATTTTCGTACACGCGTCCAGCTGCCGAAAGAAGCCGTGCTGGGCAATGAAATGGTGTAGAACTGCCAAGGACGATGCCCAGAATAATGCCAAGTGAAGCACACGACCTCTTTCTGGGAACAGCGCCGACCTTTTGCTTATCTGCTTGGACCTGAGGAGTTTTCTTCTTCTTCTTCTTCTTCTTCTTCTCCTCCTTCTAATTGACGAATTATAACCATGTCACCCGTCTTCTACTATATTTCCCTCTGCTTCCCTCCTTTTTCGCTGTCTTCCTAACACTCCAGCAACATCATCCCCACGTCAGCATTGCGAATCCATACCCCGGTCCCCGCTATATCTCCCGTCGCTCTAGGCTCTAGCATAGAGCATTCCGTTGCCGCTCTGCAGTCTGCAAACAAACATTGTGGCTCTTTACCACGCCCTCCCTTCGGGGACAAGTGAGCCCCGAGTGCTCTTTGTACATATCTTGTAACCTTGATAGAACGCGCCATCATGAGGATACGACCAGTACTTCTTTCCCTCGCCCTCCTGTCAGACCTTCTCGTTGAAGCCTTCCTCATAAATCCACCAAATCACCAATCGATTTCCGCATCGCTTACCAAGAGGAGGAAAAAGAAGCCGCCAAAGACGCCAGCCGATGGCTGGGCCAAATACTTCCACGAACCTGGTGGCACCGACCTCTCAAATCATTATGATAGCAGATACGAGCACGGCATCCTGAGCTATGAAGAGAAGCAGGATTCGCAGGTACATATAATGAGGGCATATCTAGACTTTTTCAAGAAAAACAATATAGAGACATGGCTGGCACATGGCACTTTGTTGGGTTGGTGGTGGAACGGAAAGGTATGACCCCGGCCTGAGAATGCACATGTGCCGACACTCACATCTCGCTTAGATGCTTCCGTGGGATTGGGACATAGACACCCAAGTCTCCGGGCCTACACTCATGTTCCTTGGCAAACATTTCAACGGCTCCATATACGAATACAATTCCGCAGACTCAGACCCTGATCTGCAACCTGTGGTCGAGCGGCAGTACCTGCTCGACGTCAACCCTGCCATAGTAGAGCGAGATCGTGGTAATGGAGACAACGTCATCGACGCGCGTTGGATTGACATACGAAATGGTCTCTACATCGATGTGACCGGCCTCTCCGAGACGGAACCAATGGACCAGCCAGGGGTGTGGAGTTGTAAGAACTACCATCACTATAGGACTACGGACCTGTATCCCATGAGGGAGACTATGTTCGAGGGAGTTGTTGCCAAGGTGCCGTATGCCTATGATCGGATTCTCGCAGAAGAGTACCAAGAGAAGGCATTGGTCGTGACGGAGTACGAAGGGTATGCTTGCATGGCCAGCAATCCCAAAGACACCTACTGATGCGTGTACAGTCACAAGTGGCATCCGGACATCAAAGAATGGATCAAGAAGACTCCCGACGAGATCAAGCAAGAACGCCTGAGCAGGCAACAAGCTCGGCGGAAGAAGCAGGAGGAGAAGGCACAGAGGAATAAAGCAAAAGAGGAAAAGGAGAAAGCGGAACAGGAGGCCAAGGAAAAGGGCGAGGCCGTCCCCGATGAGGGAAAGAAGGACGAAAAAGAGGAGGAGCATTCCGCTGACCAAGGCATCAAAGAGCCCGAGAAGGAGCCCATCAAGGTTAAGCGTAACGCAGAGCCTGATCCCGAACCTGACCCCGAACCAGTTGCAGAGCTAGAATTGATGAAGGAGTCTTCAGGCCTGGCACACCTCCGTCATCGACATTTGGATTACATTGTATGAACACAAGAGTGCTCGACGCGCTACACATATTGGCCATCTCGCACATACTCGGCTCGTGCTGTTCGATACCGATGATACCCACAGCTTGTTGCATTCCATTGTTCTATCTTTTCGCAGCATTGTTTGTCCACCAGCATTTGTCGGCGCAAGAGCGAGCCTTTTTCTACTGCCACAGCTCTCCCATTTTGGAAATTGTTACCTGCACAAGGATCGGCGTAGCCCATGGAAATAAAATTTGGTGCTCCAAATGGAGCGAGAGTCGATTGGAAGGATTCAGGAGGCATAGTTGTCCGTGCATAAGATGCCGCTACATTGTACATATTCACTGAGCTGTTGTAAATAGTAACATCTATATGGATGGCCAGTGTTCTCTCGAGTCTTCATCCCTCGGAATTCAGCTCACAAACGTCACATGCCACAGCTCACAATCTCCGCACAGGGCAACCTAGGTTCCTAGACCAGTGCTTCCAAAGTCAGACAGACGTGGTTCGACTGGAGTCAGTGGACCGGTATTTCGGACGTTTCGACCATTGGGTGATGTGCTTCACCACTGGTGCCACTGCTCACACGCTTGGTTGACCAGTCCGGCGTGGCGTACCTGCCTTTCCGCATAGCTGTACATCCCCCAAAAAGCAAGCTGCCTGCCGGCCATCGTCGTCTGCCTCGTACCGCCCACGCCGGGACAAAGAGGCTGCTCTCGATGCGTCTCTACGGCCGACGAGCGTTGATTGGAACTTTGAAATATGGCCGGCGGCGTACCGGTACGCTTTCGAAGAAGAGGTGGAGGAGAATAGTAGTGTTGGTCTTTGCATGCATAATACAATGGAGTCCAGTGGTTGTATGTGGGGCCCATCCTATCATCCCGTCGGGGATGTGGTATGAATCGCTATGTTTGAATGAGTTTCGACCCCGGCTCACAATCTAGACTTTAATTCTTTTTTTTGTCTCCCAAAAGACATCACTTATAGCCAAGGTGCTTCAGGAAAAGCAAAGACTATAGATCCTGACGAATGTTAGAATATTCGAGAGTATGTGAGACCTCGTTGTTACCAGAGAATAGGGCCATTATCCGTTCCGAAAGGGGCCGTTCTATCAAATCCCTTTGTTGGGATTTTAATAGGATAGCCAGATGGCTACGCCCGAGCTTTTTGCCATTCGTTTCGATTCGGCTTCGCGATTCATGTTTGATCTTTATTTCGCCTCTCTGGTTTGCAAGCTCTGACTGCGATCGCAGGAATAACATAGTGCAAGCTGGAGTAGTGAACCGCATTCCGTATGTATGAGACATTCTTCTTACAAGCGAGCCTCAGTTCAATACTCTTTACATCAATCATAATCTCCCAACTCCACCCTGCTTCTCCTTATCTGCCTCGTCCTGAAAACTCCTCTCCAACGCCACCTGCGCATCAAAATCTCTCTTGACACTCGCCACCTGCGCCGTCAACGGATTCACCATTGCATCCGCCGCGGCCTTCTGACCTGCTTCTTGCTTGTTCAGTCCTTTCCCACTTCCTAGATGCTGATCCTCCCAACCCCATCCTGTCAGATAGACACCAACTTGAAAGATCAGCTTTCCTTCCTGCCTAATCTCCACGGGAGGTGCTTCATCGCGGTAGTGGATTTTGATTCCTTTGCCCATGATTTTCGCCGCCAGCTGCATTTTGGCCTTTGGATCTACTATCTCTGTATCCTCGCGTTTTTGCGAGCCCAGCTTTAATTCCCAAAGCGCTGCGAGCCATGCTTCTGCAACTTGAAATCCTTGTTCAGGATCTGAGATGATGACGGCAGCTACAAAGGCTTCGAAAATGTCGCCCAAAGTCTTCAGCCATAGCTTTCTGCTGTCTTTCCCTGGCGTGTTGTAAGTACTAGGCAGCTTGGCTTTCTCATCGAAACCGTACGCGAGGGCGTATTCAGCAAGTGTTTCGTTTTTGACAAGCATTTCACGCTGCTGGGATAGTCTACCGGCTGCAAGACGTGGAAAGCGAGGGAAGATTACTCGTGTTGCCATGAGCTCGATGTAAGCGTCGCCAAGGAATTCGAGGCGATCGTAGCTGATGTTAACCTTTGAGGCTGTGTCGCAGCTCAGAGAGCCCGGATGCGTGAACGCAACGGACTGGAGAGCCTTGTCTAGGATAGGTGGAAGTGGCGGGAGGGTTGAAGGGCGGCCATTGTAAGGTGGAAACTTGACGGACTCTTTTGGAGATGTGGAGGATGGACGGTGTTGGGTGGATACGGACGAAGATTGTTGAAACACTGGAAAATTCAGAGCTTTGCCCAAAGATATAGAGTCGCCATTGGCATTCGACTGCTTAACGTGAAGTGCATAGCCTGAAAGCCGTGGATCTTGGACTTGGGCCTGAGTAGACTTGGACGCTTCCTGAGGATGATCATGGGCCTCTCTGTCGCTGTCGGACAGGGGCTCTGAAACAAGTTTTCGTGTGTTCTTTTGGCTCTCGCTGACTTGAGAAAGACTTTGACCTACGTGAGAGGATGCGGGTTTTGGAATGAGGGACTTGTCGCTAGAAGATGCCGTGTGTTTCTGCTTCTTCTGCGAAGACTCCAAAAACCCTCCGCCGGAATCGTGGCTTCGCTTCTTGCCCATACCGTAAACTGCTTGAGAAAGGTCTCTATTTTTGAAATTTAGACAAAGAAGAAAGTAGTCACCGGCAGACTGTACCGAAATTGCTACCTTCGGAAGAACTATACAAGACAGAGTACTTCAATAAAAATGCTTCAAGCTTGAGAATGATGAATTCTGTCCATATGGCTCACGGCCTAGAATGAAACTGTAAGAAGTGAGATGGTTTCACATATCACCTCCGATTACCTAGTCTGTTATGGGAAATGATGACTTCCAAGATATGTTGACATTGAGTGGTGAAAGCGAGGGATTTTTTGCAATTCAATAGGGCTGATCCCTAGCGCGAAATGGACGTCGGCCTGCAATGCTAAAGTATGCGACCTTCGGCCCCTTCTAACTTGACATTGTTTCAATTCGCCTCGCTCAACAACGATGTCGGTCCCTCAGTCTCGTATCTTTGATCTCCTTCAGGTATTCTATCATCAATCCCACCTTTCTTCTCCCGCAGCCCCTATACTAACGCCTAATCCAGGTTCAATGCCGCATTTTCTCCCAGACCTTTAACCCCCAGCGCCTACGGACCGGCAATCGAGTACTCCGCCAACGATTACGGGGACCTTCCGTCGCTGCCTATTATCCCCGACGTGTCGCCACAATAAAAGATCTGAAAAAGCTGTACAAAGGCTTTGATGAGGAGATGGAGACGTGGGATGACGATGAGGAAGACAGATTGGAGCATTTATTGCTGGCGAAGCAAAGGGGTAAGGGAGCGCCGAAGAAGAAGAGGACCGCTGAAGGTGAGTCTTTATCCTGTTTGCTGCTCAGATGTGAGAGAAACGCCTGCTAATACGTCGATATTCAGAAAGCAAGAAGATAAAGGGGAAGAAGAAGCCTGCTGTTGCGGCGATCGCGCCAAAGGAATCAAAGTTCTAGCAAGAGTAATCCTGTATTTACGCATAGCATAGGAGTTTAGGCGAAAGTGTCTGATCAAACCTGAAGGGTTGGGTCATATCCCAGTTTTTGATGCAATTAGCTACAATACTGGGCAACCGAGGTCCGCCAACAAATAGGCGAACGGTAGAGGTAGAGAGCAAAGCTGCGTAGGTGGTATCAACGGACCTTCAGTGATGGTATCATTGGTATGTGATGCTATGGACTATCTATGGTTTCTCTCATTCCCCTCCCTAGCAGCTACACTCCAGAGGATGTGAGTGACTTGAGCGTTATTCTGGCTCAACTGGGATCCTGACCGCACGGTATCTCCATTTGAGGTCAGAGACATTGATAGAGCATTACGCCCCGTCCGACTTGACCACGTAGGTGAAGCTTTTGGAATTTCCAACGTCGAACTGTTTCTCATGTCCGTTCTTCAACTCAAAAATCTCTCCTCAGAAAGCAGTCCCAGTCCCCGCACCTTCCCCACTCATCGCCTCCAAGGCCTCTTCTGCCAACTCGCTCCTCAGCCCATCCCTTCTACTCTCCCTCTCTTTGCTGTCCCATTCCCTAAGGCCCCTTCTCTTCTCCCTTTGCTTCTCGTCGATCTGGTCTTGCAGTTTCTTTTTTTGCTCCTCCAGCTCTGCCAACCGCTTTCTCGCAGCTGGATCCAATGCACTTGGCAAAGCTTCGCCACCTGGGACGATAGCTGGCACCGAAGCGAGGTGGTTTGTATTAAAGCGCTGGGTGCGTGGATATGTAGTCGAAGATGAGTTGTTTGAGCGGAAGGGCGGTGGAGCGCGGTATGAAGACTCGAATGGTGCCGAAGGCCCGTGGTGGGCCCGTGGACCGTGCGGAATGTGCTCTGATGGCGGCGGGCGGGACTCATATTGCTGGCGGGATGGAGCGTGGTAGGTTGATTGTGGTGGTGGACGGCCGCCGCGATGAGGTTGTGGACCGCTGTAAGGCTGACCCCGTGAGTCTCGCCCTGCGAAAGAAGGGCCGCCGCGAGGGCGAGTGGGTGCGGAGAGAACAGATGCGCTGGCTGGGCGATTGTGAGCAGACATGGAGATCGGAGCTGAAGGTGGAGGTCCGGAGGGAGATTCGCGGGCATAAGAATCTCTGTAGCCTCCCGGTCCACTTGGAGGAGGACGAGAGTCTCCATTACGGTATCCTGATGATTGAGGCGTTGCCATCTGTGTGCCTGACCAGGTGGCAGGAGTGTCGCCATTTCGATAGTCGTCTCGCTCTCGTGGGGGCGGTGATCGTGCACGATAAGGTACAGCTTCGCGCGGTGGAGAGACGGGGACTGGCGAATAGCCTCTTCGTGGAGGCGATTTATCGCGATAGCCCGAATATCTTGCAGCAGGGGGTACGCGGGAGCCTCTGAAAGCGGGAGAATGAGGACCTGATCCAGTATTTGCTAGCCTGTCTGTATGAACATAAGGCGAAGAGCGACGAGAAGAGATCGGGGAGGCGATGCGAGAGGCGTGCTCAGTACGTCGTACTGGAGAAGCAGAGCGTTCGGGATGACGGTAATTACTCTCGTTCGGGAATCTAGGTCGTGCATTCCTGAGAGGAGAGAAATCGCGTCTCTCGTATCTCTCCCTGGTTGGTGAAGGTATCCTTTCTCGTTGAGAGGGCGACCGCGGTCTGCGGTACGGCGATGATTCTCTCTTCACAGGAAGTGGCGATCTCGCTCGAGGCACGGGAGATCTGGAGTAGCGACGTGTTCTGGGAAGGGGTGATCTGGCGCGTGTATCTCTTCGAGGCGAATATGCCCTCGCTGGGGACCTCGGTCTTCCTCTGTAGCTGCTTCCATCCCTACCCCTATATGCTGGGCTTCGCGAACGTCGTCGATCTGCTGCTGGAGTATATGTGTCTCCATACGGAGGTGGAGTGCGCCCTCTTCGAGGCGAAGACCGATAGCTACGAAAATTGTCTGACCGAGGTGGTGGATTGCGTTCTGATGGTCGATATGTCTCCCCACCAAGAGGGCGGGTATTCTCATACCTGCGGCAGACAACGCGTCAGAATAATGTTTTGCACAAAGCTTCTCTTACTTTCCCGCGAAACCAGGACAGGGAGACATATGGGATACTCGTAGTTCAAAGCTCCCAAAGTTCTATGGAGTAACGAACCTTCGATCACGACCTCTATCCATAGTTTTGATATGTGCGTAGCCAAAGGGAATAAGGGAGTAAAGCTATTTTTCTCACAACTCAACCAGGAGCAGCTACGAAATCCCGCAGACTGTTGTCGAGTGCGACGGTGTTGCTCGTCACAAATATTTCCAAAAATCTAGCTCGGCACGCTAACCGCATTAGGATTCTGGACTAGTTTCTTCAGCATCGCTGCCGTCACTCACAGGACTGGCTGATTGTAGGTATATTTGCTGCATTGTATTTCTGGAAGGGCCTCGGGCTCAGATCAGTCCTTATGTGCATGGCCAGTAGTGAATTTTGAAGCCTCCTCCGCATTCACGGTCATAGTGATGCATTCCTTATTACTTCTTGAGATTCACTTGCAGCCGAAAATTGGTATCTTGAACGAGCAATCCCGAATTAATCTCACACTCCTAGCGCCTGCTTCTCCTTTCCTCGTCCCTCTTCTGCCTCTTTCGACTTTCGCTAGCTATCATGTCACTCAAATCTTCTTGAAACCCATAGTTGCCTTGATCCTGCTGCTTCTGCGCTTCATATAACCTCTTCATGTCTTCCTTGTCCAACTTGTCTTTAGCCTGCAGATCATCTGGGTTCATAGCTACATCCACATCACCAGGCTTCTTCCTCTTCCTGTTCTGATCCTCTTGACCGAGGACCGGCAGGCTGCTCTGAGCTGCCTTGAGATCATACGTCCGATCTCCGCCAAAGAAACCGGAGACTCTTGCTTGTTGCTCAGGGATGACCTGGTAGGCGGTCCTATGGTGCGTAGACTCTTCCGTGTCTGTGCCCCGTCTTTGCTTTCGTAAGTCGAAATCACCCGTGACGCTCTCTGCCCCGCCGTATTCGGACGGAACCGTCGATGCTATGCCTCCTGGCGTCTCCAACCCACTTGGAGTCTGCAACCCTGCGCCAACGTCTTCGACATCACCATCTTCATCCTCCTCGTCACTCTCTTCTTCTTCTTCTGACTCTTCCTCAGGCTCTTGCAGTTCGCCCCAAAGAGTCTTCTCTACCGGTTCTCCTAATTGAGTATTCTGCTGCGGCTGTAGAACACCAAAGATATCACCGCCGTATAAAGGCCGATTGTACTCGTCCACAGGTGGCTTGCCATATCCACCAGGATGAAATCCCCATGCCCCACCAGGCGGGGGAGGAGCATTGAGTCCTGGTATCTTAAGCGCAGTATAAGATGGCGGTGGGCCAAAGCGCTGTTGATTGATCAGCCATGGCGGCGGCGCGCCGGGTGGAATGTTTAGAGCTTCCTTCAACTCTTCGCTGAGCTCACCAGGTCGCAGATGTTTGAGATTAGTCTCATACTCCTTGCCTTCGTAGTACACTTCTCCATAGCGGGTGAGCTCTGGCTTGGTCTGGAATCTGAAAAAAGCTTCGTAGAGTTTTTGATAGTCGATATCAAGCTTGCCCATCTTCGGTTGCACTCGCTCTCGTTGCTTTTGTTTGAGGCTCGCCTGGTCCTGCTTCTCCAAAACGGCGTCTCGCATCTCCGCGATCCCGGTTTCCTGGATGAACTTAGGTAGGGCAAAAGGTGGCTTTTCCACACCGCGTTTGGATGATAGATACTCACGCTTCAGAGACCAATGCGATGGCACTGGTACAACATTTCGGTATGCCTTGATGTGCACAAGTAATCGGGGATCTGAAGCTGAGGTATCTGTCCAATCCACCGTCTCCGGTTTCTCGACTAAAGCCTTGAGTTCAGCAACCGAGAGTTTGTCTCGCTCCTTTCGCTTCTTTCTCGACATCTTCGGTTGCCCTGCCTCTTCTTCCTCGTCGGGTATCTCGTCGTCATCATCGTAGTAGATCTCAGGTTTTTCTACCTCTTTCGTAGACGGATCCTCCTTGTCACTCTGCTCAAATCTGCCCATGATGTCCTTGTACATCTCATAAAGAGGGTCTGTTTCGCCAATGCTGTCAATGCCATCAGAGGTCCCATCTTGCTCTTCGTCCGCTGGAGCTGCAGGCTCAATTATGGATGTCGCCGGTTCTGGTTCCCTGGAAAGCTCTGGATCTGGTGCAGAACTCGCCTGTGATAGCTAGTAAGTAAGTAGAATTCCACTGCGTAGATGCGACATACCTCATTGTGTTTCGCGGCCTTCTTCTTCGCTCTTCGGAGCTGGTTTTTCGTAGGCTTCGTTGCAGTAGACATCGTGGCTTCGAGGTAGCGATAACACTCCAACAGACGGGAGGACCTCGATTGGAGGCTTGATAGGAAAAGTTCTCAGTTCTTTCAACGCTGAGTGGCAGAAGTGTTGCAATGTAAAGGTTTGATTGAAATGAGCGCTGGAGTGAAGCACATAGGAAGATCCACGCTAGTTTGAGCCTTACGAAGCGACCCTGAGATTTCCTGGCCATCAATCTACGATTGCTTAAATCATCCACTCTACATCAGATTGCAAGTATGAGTTGAGAACACCAGATGGGATTGATCTATCAAATGCTTCTAAATGCAACGAATGCTTCTGCTTTGATCCATCATTGCTCGTTCATCCATCTGTGCAAAGCATCCGTATAGGACAGCTCGGACAGTATCTCTAGCGCGAAACAGAATATTCTGGCTGAAGGGTTGTAGTCGTACGCGTGTCAAGGAGGAAAACCATAGTGGGCTGGAAAGTGGTGCATGCTGCGGTCATTGCGGATGAGCAGGTAAGCATCGTGGGGTGCTATCATGGACCACGCATACGTCCCAGCTGCGCCTTTTAAAAGATGCGGGATAAAGCTATGCGTGGTCAAATGCATAAATCGGATTTCGTATTAAGAGTCGTAAAAAGGAAATTCGTGACAGAATGAAAATCTGTGTCTGAGTATGGTGTACCAATATGGACACAAAGTATCAAAATGGCTCTGTGTCCATACTTGGGTCCCATGTAGAGGCCACCAACATGATTCCGCTAGATCGAGCAGAAATGTCGTTGAACTCCTTGCAGAATGCTAGGAAAGGCCTAAAGACCAAACGTGCTTTCCAAACGCGTAAAAAGAGTGCCAATGAGCGCCATGCTTTCACATGACTTCGATATCTAGCCAATCGATATCATGTCGGCAAGATGATCTGAAAACTTCTGCCGTATTCGTAAATGTGTATCGTGAGGTGGCCGTGATGTTCGTGTCGTCATATCGATTACAGTCTAGATCAAGGGTTCTCTTCAGAAGAAGCCACCGTTGACTTGAGGCAGACGCGCGTAAGATTGAGCAGGCTGTTGTACAGATTGTTGATTGTCCGGACTAAATTGCATAAAGTTGTTCGAACCGTTGCTCATACTTTGAGCGTGAGATGCTGGAGGCTGATACTGAGGGTAGGTGCCGCCAAAAGGGGCAGCGAAGGCGTTGTTGACGGCATTGTATCCATTGGAAGGTGCTGCGTACGTGTTCGAGGCAGGACTAGAAGTCATCTGTAACGACAAGGGGATCTGCCCTGAAGAGCGGTCGGTTGGAGTGCCGCTACCACTGAATCGACCTTGACCTTGGCCTTGACCTTGGCCTTGACCATGGCCTTCTTGTGCCATGATCTTGCTCTGAATGCGACGGCCGTGGGGCGTTTGACGAACCAGTGGCAGAATTGGGCGGATAGCTTCGACGAGGCGACCTTTGGTCTCCGGGTCCGCGAAGTCTAATGCTGTCTGGACAACGTAGTTGGCGTATGGGTCGCGCAACATTTTCTCGAGCTCATTGGCGTTCAGCATTTCTTCAATCATCATCTGTGTAACATTCAATTGGGCTCCACGAAGACACTTCTCGATGACATTGGAGCTGAACTTCTGCTTTGACAATTGAGGTATCTGGCCTTGGAAGACATAGCAGAGCGGGTCAGTGAAGCAAGACTCCTGGAGGTCGACAATGTACTGAAGGACGTAGTTGCCGAAGGGATCTTGAACAAGATGGAAGGCGCTGTTGGTGATTTGACTGATGAGCTTGGCTTTCTGGTGACCGGTGGCGTGATCTATGCAACGCTGCAGCACGCAACAGCCATGACGATGGGTTCCAACGGACACGCAGTTGGTGCCAACAGTATCAAAGATGAACTACCATTGGTCAATGAAGTTTTACCGAGGCATGAAAAGATAACATACCTGAGCATCTTCCGGGGAGAGACGATTCAGACATTTCTGAATGACATGATTGCCATTCAAGTCCTGGATGAGCTCTACTACCTTACCATTGAGAGCATTGATGACGGTCTGAATCTGCTCGGGCGTAGAGACGAATTCTATCATCTTCTGCAGAGCGCGCGTACCATGGCTGTTCAAAGCGATCTTGACCATCTCCGAGGCGGCGTTGTTGATCAAGACTGTACGCTGCTCATCATTTGAGAACTCAAGCAGCTTCTGGCAGAGATAGTTTCCAAAAGGATCTATGTTCGTCAGCAGGAGCACTCCCAGTGTTGGCATGGGAATAAGTACCAGTCATGAGCTCTACGACATGCTGGTGTGTCTCGATGAAAATCAGCTGGACATGCTCAGGATTGCGCTCTTCCAACTTCTTCTGCAGGTAACGACAGCCATGCTGGTCTTTACAAAGTAAGAGGATCTCGCCTTGAAAATTTTCTAATTTGACGTTGGTGAAGCGGGCATTTTCTGGATTTTCTGTCAGTGACGGTAGTCGAGAGAGGTGGGTTTGGATTTACCTTCACCATTTTGCAAGCGTCTCTGCTGGATAACACGCGCTTGGCTATCCTGGAACCGGCCTTGAGGACCGTAACTCGGATAATGAGGTAATCCGTTCTGCGGCTGGAAAGGTTGCATCTGGTTATGGAAAGCCATAGGATTGGCCATATGCATCGGATTCAGTCCCATGTTCATCGTCTGCATTCCAAAGGCAGGGTAGTAGGCATGGT